GTTTCCATATCCTTCCAAATTCTTTGTTAAGCTCCTCATAACCCTCCAAAAACAAGAAACCCACAAATAGAAATTGACAAAAGTTCTTCCTTTTTTACATTTTGATTAAAGGTTACCACTCTGACACAAAGCAATTGGGTAACTAACCATTTTTTTTTTCTTTTTTAAATTTTTACAAGAATTCAGTAATTTTATCTCGTAACGACTTATATTATGAAATAGCTTGACTATTATATATAACGGTCATCAAAACAATAGCTATTGTAAATATTAAAATTTTATTGTGAAAGTATCGTGAATTTTACAGAATTCTGCGGTAAGTACAAAGTGAACTATTATTTTATCTTTCACTAAAGTTACGACCAATTGATCTCGTTATCAATATGTTTTATTTTCTTTTCCTGACTAGGGTTTGGTTCAATGAACTTAGCCGACATTATTAGAAGTTTTACATACATTTTTTTTTTAAAAATATAAAAGTTCAATTAACATGGAAATTGCTAAGGTCTTAAACAATAAAATAAATAATTCAACTTTTTAGGAAATATATTTTTAAATTCCTTAAATTTTTTTTTTTTAATTTTTTCAAATAACTTAATTGTTTATTCCATAATTTGAAATAATATGTCATAAATGAGGGGGCCAATTTGTGTTGTGGGGATTTTTAGGGTTCATAAATACATGAAAATTGGATCAAGACATTAGGCTGCAACTTCTGGCTTCTTCTTTTTGATCATCAATCAACTACAAAATTTGTACACGTGACAGACAGGTTTCATCTTTCCCTTCAATGAAATTTCATACTAAATTATTCTAAAAATATTTTAATTATTATTAAAAAATAAATTTTTATAATTTTCTCCAAAAAAAAAATATATATATATATATATATATATATATTAAAGATCAGAGTTGGCCGACTGAAGTGTGATCGTTATGGGATAAGAAGTCTAGCAGGTTGGGTTTTGCCGCCAACCTATATTTAATTATCCATGTTTTTTTGTCTTAAATAGTAATTAAGCGACAAGCTCAATAATAAACATCAAATCATCAAGACAACTTATTTTTTTAAGTGTCCCAAATCTCCATTATTAATTAAAGACCTCACTAATTAATCAAATCTCAAATTCTTAATTATGTTTAACTTATTCCCTTCATCATATAAAGTTTTTTTTGCCTTTGGTTCATCACATACAACAAACCCTTTGGTCAATTTTTGCCTTTCAAATATTATAATCAATTAAAGACAATTAAACATAATTTAAAAAACTTTTGTTAGTGAGTAATCTTCATCAACCGAATTAATTTTAATTTAATTAATTAATTAATCAATGGAAGTTTCCATATAATAATTACTGTTCGTTTGGTTTCATGTAGATTTTACGATTTGGGTGAAAAATATATGTCGGTTGGTAATTGTAATTGTACAAAACATGTCTCCAAATGAGGTTCCCACATTAGGAAACACATTAATCAATCATTATATGTATATATATATATATATTATTGAATCCTAAACTCTTGCTTAGCTTTTTCTTCTGATTTACATGTCATGTATGTTTATTCAAATATTTACCCACATAATCTAAATAACACTTGGTAACAACTTTAATTTTGAAACTCGAATAGCTTTTTTTCACATACATAATTGTTTATTAAAATGATTATTA